CTCTTTCCGCATAGCAGTAGGCAAATCTGTCCCTGGGAATAAAAAGTTAATAAATAAGAATAACAAAAATAGCAATAAGCAAGTAGTATGCTGATTAGTTTCAAATTCATTGCATTGTTAACAGGACAATAGATGAGTTCAACCGCGTATCGAGAACACACCAAAGACAGATGTATGTAGTGGTTGCCGTTGGTCCTATTCATTGTACAGCGTGTCATCTACACTATACAAAAATCCAAATCACAAAAAATACAAAATAAATGTCACTGACAGATATGTGTGCAGGGAGGCAGAGGTGCGGCGTGGAACCGATAATTATTAAACGAAAGTTTTAAACATCATGCATATGAGGGCAATGTTTGCACGATTGCCCAAGGATGAATAACTGAAATGATTCTGTCGAATTTCAAGTTGAGGTCACATTAAAAGCGGGCGGAAACAGTGAACATCATAATCAACTGAAACTTAAGTAAAGATTGTCAGTGTGGAAACAACGATAGCAATTTGAACATCTAAAACCGAAATCGAGTTTAACAATAATTCAGTAAGCTACCTAGTTGTTCGAGTCTTTTTTGTATGTAAGTGTGCCACTTGTTTTGCCTTCTTGTTCGGTTCGATCGGTATGACTATAGTTACATATCGTTTCATGTTGTTTGTTATGGGTTATATAAGTAATACGTTAGGTAATGGAATGTTCCTGCCAATTTGTTTGAGACTAATAATTTATAGTAAACGTTCATACTCAAGCGGCAATAACTGTGATATGAACATTTTTTGTTTAAATATAACCGCAGAGAAATGGCCAGATCTCGCCGAAATATTGTTTTGGATACAATTGCATGGACAGAAGTGAGCATATACAAGGTTATATCACATAAAATGTGATATGAAAACTAACAGACAAGTAGAATATTCACTGAGAGGCCGTCAGAAAGAGGATTTCGCTCAGGGTCTCAGGTGTGTTGTCATCTTCTACCGATTACCCTGTGGTTCGCTTGACAAAACTGGATTTCAATAAATGGCGCCCTCTGGAGATCCGGACGTAAATCAAGCGGCGACCTAATTTAATGTACAGCGTCGGTATATAGCGTATAATCTATGCTTACGGTGCCCACATTTTGGCGATGGCCGTTACAAATCAATATTAATGACACAAGAAATGTTTTATTCTAAGTTGAAATAATTTAATGTTTTAATTTCGAGACAAATGTACTTCAAGCAGCCTTTAGTTTTGACCATATAATTTGACATGATATGAAATTCTAAGACGAGAATATTAAAAACAACACGTTATATAGTTAAACAATATAAACCAAAACATATTTTAATAAAATAATCTGCACGAACCCTAAATTTACGCCAGTGATCAATCATAGCGCCTCACTATGGCCGTTGTCAACGTGCATGTGTGAACGATTCTGTTTGACGACGAACTGTGGATCTTGTTGATGATGCTCTATTGGTGCTTCAAAAACAAACAGGGCGATGATAACCAGTAGTAGAATTTAATACGCCGCGTTGTAGTATCTCAAATGATAATATGCTAGTTCCCGGGCCATTTCAAGAACTGTCGCTTCAATTGCGAATTAGAGTGCGGGTAGTATTCACCGCCAAGAACCCACAGTTACGGTAAATAATATTTAAATAATACCTTGTCAAATAACTTTTTAACTTTAATAGCGTTATGAATCATGATTCAAATGGCATGAAATGTTTATTCAACAAGCTGTGTATTGCAGCTTGGTCGCTGTTAATCTGGTTTCTCGTTGGTTTGTTGTATTTGCCACCCGAGAGTGATTACGTTTTGCCGCCCGAGTGTGGTTATGTTTTGCCGCCCGAGTGATTACGACCTGCCGCCCGAGTGTGATTACGTTTTGCCGCCCGAGTGTGGTTACGTTTTGCCACCCGAGAGTGATTACGTTTTGCCGTCCGAGAGTAATTACGTTTTGCCACCGGGATGATTACGTTTTGCCACCGAGAGTGATTACGTTTTGCCGCCCGAGTGTGGTTACGTTTTGCCGCCCGAGTGTGGTTACGTTTTGCCATCCGAGAGTGATTACGTTTTGCCGCCCGAGAGTAATTACGTTTTGCCACCGAGAGTGATTACGTTTTGCTGCCCAAGAGTAATTACGTTTTGCCACCGGGATAATTACGTTTTGCCACCGAGAGTGATTACGTTTTGCCGCCCGAGAGTGATTACGTTTTGCCACTGAGAGTGATTATGTTTTGCCGCCCGAGTGTGGTTACGTTTTGCCGCCCGAGTGTGGTTACGTTTTGCCATCCGAGAGTGATTACGTTTTGCCGCCCGAGAGTAATTACGTTTTGCCACCGAGAGTGATTACGTTTTGCTGCCCAAGAGTAATTACGTTTTGCCACCGGGATAATTACGTTTTGCCACCGAGAGTGATTACGTTTTGCCGCCCGAGAGTGATTACGTTTTGCCACTGAGAGTGATTATGTTTTGCCGCCCGAGAGTGATTACGTTTTGCGACCGAGATTGATTACGTTTTGCTGCCCGAGAGTAATTACGTTTTTGCTGCCCGAGTGTGATTACGTTTTGCTTAAACATGTCAAACTATATGTGAAATCATACCGAGGTGGTTAAAGAGGAAGTTAGCAGGAACTATTATGAAACTTATTAAGATATTTGTAATAAATAAACCCCTTTTTCAAAGTTATCGTCACATAACTATATTTACAAGATAACAAATCTATTCAAGTCAGAGTATTTGGTGATAACTCTATTCATTCATTTAGTTATAATAAATCATAATATGACACATGTGATTTGAAATGCTTCATTTGTCACATTCCTGTGTTACATAATCTTTATCAAATTAATAATTCTATTGTTTTGTTTTCGTCTATTTAAAACCATACACTTGATCTGTGGAAATGTTTTTATTTGACTAATGTTGAATTTTGTATTGATTTCTTAAGTTGATAATAATTACTTGTGGTGAATAAATAATAATAATAATAATAATAATCTTTTGAATAAAGCTGAAATGCAGACAACACATTCCCAACAGTCGATTTCATAAAGTGGGGAGGTATAAGTAAATTAGTTTAAATAATATTGCAGAAGTCGAAGTCAAAATGGTGAAAAAACGCTTTTTACGGAAGCCATAAAAGGATTCCGTTCTATCCGACACATACAAGCACGATAATGAGTGAATGTATCGATGGTTTGTCTCTAATAAACTAGCATCAAATCAACCACTAATGGACAAAACAGTCAGCAGTGATGTTGTATAAATGCATGCATAACTTGGCACCTTTGTATAACATTTTATGATTCTTTTTCACAAAAACAATCCCCTCGGTTTACGAGAGCTGTTGCTAATAATAATTTGATGGTACCTGCATCTCGTTGTAGAAGAGTTTTCCTGTTAAATTAAAATATAAGAAACCGTACGATAGTGTTTTTCACATGTTTGTCATTGGTTGCCCGCACTCATATTGTAGTAACGCTGGATGTGTTCAAAATTTCTCATAAACATGCACTAATGTGTAAAAATTAAAAAAGTAAATAATGTTAGTTCCAATAACAAAATGCCTAAAAACACGACTCACTTTTGAGGAACTTGCAATTTTAATTTTACGCAGAAACATTAGTTCGAATTACCATAAAATGCACGCGACATACGTACACCTACTAGGTCGCGGACGGATCCCGCAGCGAGCAACGTGACACACAAAACAAATCAACATACAATGGGTTTAATACCAACTAAATTGTTGTCACTCTCTGTACATTCAGGAACTTGTTCAAAGAAGCAATCATAGTTGAATTTCCCGAACAACACCTTGCGATAATCGCATGAGTCAATAATATTTCGATATTCCATTTTCAATATTTCTACGTTTTTCGGAATAGCACCCGCTGTCGTCATAAGATTACCGGCGATGGAAGAATGTATAATTAAGACTGGATAGTTCGACATTACTTGAGAGAGAGATCCCGATTTCCATGTTTGTTTGACGTCATCACATGAGCAATCTTGTTGAAAACATAAAACAAACATATCAACTCGCTCCTTTTCTGTTTTTATCAAATAACTTACGATGTTTAGAGTGTTGACGTGTGTGCCTTCTGTTGTTATCAATATGTATTGACTCTTTGGGATATTACGTAAGACTGACTTCATGTCATCGCTATTCTTTTTTAAGTCGTAATTTCCTATTATTAAATCTCCGTTCATGCAGTGTTCATGCTTTAAAAACATTCCGATTCTCTCATTAGATTCGTCAAGACCCTTCTCCCCTTCGTTAATAACATGGTACGTATCGACCCACCTTCCAGCCACTGCTCGCAATTTCGGACCATTCACGCGAAAAGATGATCTATAACGATAACTTTTCGGTCTTGATATGGTAATGACTGTCAACATGACTGGTCTATTTGTTGCCATGCACACATTCAGAGTCCTATTCTCGACGTCATCGAAGCAAGTACTGCATGGTAGTTTTAATGAAAGCGGAGAAACTTCCACGTCCTTTGAAATGACCGGCCAAGTCGATACAAGCGTTGAAGCATTTTGGCCATGGACTGCAATCGATGCCTGCATTGCGTGCACAGACGATGCCCAGAAATCACCCACCCCGATACACGGATACAGTGTAATGCCTGTGTTTTGCAAAATGATGCCAACAAAGACGTCCTCTGATGAAATATATCCTTTGAGTTTGTTTGATCGTATGACATTGTAGCCGTTTTTCACAACATCGCCAGACATAAGGTAAAAATGTCCGACAGCATAGGGCGGAAACCTCGATTCTGGCCAAACATCCACAGGTGTGTAGCATTTGTGACTAGGGTTTCTAATTGCTCGCTGTGACACGTGCGGATCTCCCATGTAGAGGGAGTGTTGCGGTAAGTAACGTAACATGGTGATGACGTTGCGGATATGTACAAAAACGTCATCGTCCATTTTGATGACGTACTGCACAGTCTCGCAATGTTTTGCAACCCATTGGAAAAACATACATGTTTTAAGAGTTAAATTATAGAACGAATCCATGAATTGGCCCTGAATAATGTCACCATGGGAACGGTCTTCGCTTTGCAGAGCATGGTTGATATCGCTTGAATTAGTCACTCCCAACAGAAACACTACAATCACGTCTGCTGCGTACGTGGGTAATACGCCGTTGGAAGCCCACGTCTGACGTATAGCTTTCCGCAATTCGAAATTATCAGGACGAGTTTCCACACCGATCACAATCCTCATTCTGTTCGTTGGTGTGCATTTATCGGGGTGGTTGATTAAGAATGAGATGTTACCGTGAATAATATTACCATACCCGGTATGGTTGGAATAATTGCCCTTTACAAAAGACGGTTCGGTAAACTGTTGCCTCTGCGTTTCTTTACCGTGGTGATCAAGCAATTTCTTTGCATGCGTAGCGACGTTTAAAAAATATGCCGTAATAGTCACGGAGGTCATCAGAATGAACGCGATCTTCTTTTTATACATGGTTACGATACGTGAACACGAAAACCAACCGACTGTCGGTGTACTGATCTGTTATCGCCTTTGAAGCAATGGTATATACATACACACGGACGCGGTGAGTATTTTCATCGATATAGCTGTTGTTTTATACTTGTAATCGAAGTGAAGTGTGCCAAATAATAATAATGTGTATAACCTCAATGTTCCTTTGTCCCAGGTTTGCTCAATTCATAATGATATGCACATGTGTTACCAAATAAATCTGTTTCATTTCACTGACAATTTTCATGCGCAGTGGCGATGCCTACCGCATTTCAGTGGAATGTATCTTTATACCATGTTTAACAAGTATGTGTACGTACAGGGAGGTTTAATTGTATCTTTTACTCTACACTATTAAGAAGACGTCTATCTAGTCATTTGCTTATTCAGTGAATCTGATGAAATCCAGTAATATAAACAGTTTTTGTTCGCGATAGAGGGCGCTACAATATACGATATTCACGGTATCGGTATAACACGTGACTTGTACACAGATGTACTATATATTTTAATGTCAATCCAACATTATGACCTGTCCCGTAAATCCGCAATGCACGTACATATGGGATGAATTATTCCTATATTACCCAGTCATTTAATCCACTACTCCAACGTTAAAATACGACCATCGCCGTGTTTACCAGTATCCTCGGGGGTGGACATCCGGGCATTTTCACCGCCTGGCAACCCTCACGGTGAAAACAAAGGCCATAAACTCGCAGAAAACGGTACTTTGGGATGGTTGTTGAGACTCCCCTGAACAGTGTAACAAGATTAGCCCTACGTGTGTAACATATATAAATTTGGTTGTTCAGGATTACTTCAAAGTTGAGTTTGTGTTGTTTTCTCAAATTTTCACCGGCTCGACCGGCGTTCTACAGCAGCGCGCACAGAGCCCATAGAAATGCATGGTACAGTGGTGCGCGTCGTAGCAACGTGGAACGTCTGTGACGTGGGTCCGCCCCGAGGATAGGTTCAAGAGGTGTATTACGCAATTCCCGGGTCGCAGTTTACATAATAAAATAGTTTTGCGAAATTTGGGGTGAACGCAAAACCACAATGGGTGATTTCGCTTTAACAAGTTCATTTTGCAATATTTTTTATTTAATTTAAACTTTAAAAAGAAATAAATCACCCAGAATGTGCCAGTCTTGAACAATGTGTTATTTCCACCTTGCCAGTGACGCGACTAGTACACAGTAATGAGAAACTTTGCGCGACACGTACTGGTGTATTTTTTTTTAGACTTTTCGACGTCAGTGAAGCTAGCGGTATGTCAAAACGAATGCAGGACGTTTGGGTCACTATTTTTCTTACAAAGGCGGGCACTTTGGTCGCGTGTGTTTCTTCCTGGAAAGATTGCGCAACCACGTGACTTATGCATTACTTATTCATTGGTATTGTATACCTCCATGATTAATTATATCAGTAACTTCCGCTAAATTAAATCAGAGTGAACATGTAAAATAACAATAAAACTCATTGTTTCCTTGAAAGTGAATATGCTTAAAACATCAAAATAGTGTAATTAAATGTCAGTGAAAATAAATGGTTTTACAGTATTAGTTTACTTACAAGTCATGTGATTGCAATTTATGTCGCGCGTGCTTATTTTACCTTCCCTGCAAAATGCAACATTTAAAAATAAATACTGTAACACTCTCATAGAATACGGCGAATATATTAAACTTCGGTAGAGATTATATTGAATAGATTATACATTACATCATATCTCATAATCAGAAATATGAAAAAAAATAGCACCGAAGACATGTTCGCCCATATTTTGATTAGCTCCAGCATATCAAACTAATGAAATTGAATACCAGTGAATATATTAAATGTTTCACAGTATGTGAGACTGATATGTAACAATACACTGATATTCCGGACGTCTCGGGCTACTGATCATAGTTCTTATACTTTGGCGAGAGAACGTTGGCCGTTATTATAGGTCCCTGTGACAGAAAAGGGAAGTGAAGTCGCCGTAAATAAATCACGTCGCGCGTTGATTGGAACAACAATGAATGCTGAACTGAAAATTACGATATTTTTCAAAGTTATAAAATTATAAATGTATTTTACCTATCTGCAAATTTAGCAGAAGAAACATAAGATACGATAAGATATAAATAGATAGACGGACTCATGTCTGGAAATGACCGGCATAACATTGGGTAGTTCCACACATCTAACTGTGTGTTCTCAAAGAATATAGTCTTTGGTGTTCTTTACGAATGGCTATATCCCACAGATACTGCTTGTAGATTTGATAACCACGAGGAAAATATTTAGTTCATATCCGGTTTCAGTTGTTATTGTTTTCATCAGAAGTATCACAAGTGATGTTATTGCGAAACCTGCTAAGGCATATGTCTGAAATCATAAAACATTTTTTTTTTAGTTCCATGCTGAAATACACACCGAAACTTACATACGTAAGTGTCACACTGCATCGCATTCCTGTGCGTCGCCCGCCCCGCCACAATTGACCCTTTCATCCAGTGCAACTATAAGTTCATATGGCGGAGGGTCATCATAAATGCGACCATGGTCGTGTAAACTTGATGATAGTTCTTTGTACGGAGGAGGTTGTATTTGCGATGAAACCATAACAACCGTACTATATGGTCCATCACTGGTCGCCTCGTTAGCTAATTCTAAATCCCTTGACTGACGGCTTCTCCGAAAACCTTCCGTTCGTCTCCTGATAAGTTGTTGTCTCATTGACTCGTACTGGCGTCGATAGCGGATAGTCAGCACGGTAAATGAGATGATAAGCAACGCTATTGCCGCATATAACACAGCCATGATAATATCCGGATGCTGGTCATTGCCGCCTACAAGTGGTGTCGTCTGTTTCGGGGTCACCAAACTGGTCATCGCTGTGGTTTCTAACAATGAAAAATAAAATATTACAACATATATGTGTGAACGTGGCATATATATATATATATATATATATATATATAAGTAATAAATATACAATGTGGACTTTTTTCATATCAATATTATTAAATGATTACATACCTGCATTCGGGTATCCACCAAATCCATATTTACACCGATCGCCATAATATCCAACATAGCACACACAGTAGAAACCAGACCCATTCCATTTACATTTGCCTCTACTTAGACAGTCATCAGTACAATCTGAAGAAGAACAAGTCCGATCTGATGTTAACATTGTGTTGAATGTCCGGCACAGAAACTTGGCATCCGAACCGGATTATTCCTATGGACTTATATTATGCGTGTACTTTTCTCAAGCTGACAGTGTCGCCCCCGGCAATCAGCCCGAGGCTTGGTAGGACTTGGTATCAAAGTCAAACCATGTCCCACCATGTTCACAAGTCATGGTGAAATCAATGCAAGTGTTGAATCACAGAGGGACTGTGGTTGAATATTAAACTCCAAGTTAAAATGACAGTACCGATCACTTCGTTAAAACGAAATGCTGCACTAACGTTACTAAAATAGTGCTGTTCAATAGTAATAGTACAAGTTCGTGTACCCACCTGTTCGAAAGCCATAGCATGTTGAGACGAGCGTCGCCATCACGGTGATAAATATCACACAAGCCATTCTGTCTTGATCTTCCAAAAATATAAACCTGGGATAGCAATTGAAGAAGACTTGAGTAGTTATACTGTGCTCTGTACGGCAGTGAGTGAGTGAGCAAAAATCAAATTCACTGAACGTTTTATTCACATCCGGCTTTTCACTGTCATTGTTTTCATTGTATTGTTGCTATTCCTATTAAACTTGGTGGTAATTGTTGTCTGGCTGAGTGTGAATGTCCACGCTTAAGTGGTGCACAGGTTGATACCTGCATCTCGGGCACTTTATAACAATACATCAATGTCGCTTGCTAATACAATGAGAATGTAATCACTTGCCAATGGCAAAGGCACCGTGAACAAAGAAGCAGACACGACCGTCTACCGAAGACGGATGGAAATTACGAACATTATCACCAGGAACTAAAGTCTGTCAGCGACGAGAGGGATGTTATGTTTGACCGGGATGTCACATCGGCCGTAGTGTTAGACACCACTGCAGTTAAAGAAACTTTTAAAAAATGGCCGTATTTTTGGAGATTATTAAGTTGAGAGTTAATACTAAGGGCTAAAACATTTGAAACCATAGGAGTGGCTAGAGAAGTGTGACCAGTCACAGTCCCTCTATAGTCTATATAGGGACTGTGGACCAGTACATTTGTTGTCACGATGTCTGTAATTTTTTTGGAACATTTTTTTCTGCAACAACTGGCCCGCAATTTTTGTTTGCAATTTATTTGTTCAACAAAGCTTCCAGACACCAATGATTTCAAATTGTCGACCCCATTCACCGTTTGTTAATACGTAATACTTCACATTACCTGATATATCTTTCTTACAATCACTATGCCGTTCAAATACCGTTCCAGTTGTCACCACTCCTAACACCACATATCATGTTGACTCCAACAGACAGTTGTACAATAAAAAAACACCATCCAAAAATAACAGCAAGTACTACTATACTCGTAGATATTTTCTGTTGATAATATCTATAGATGTTCTAGAAATACAACCAGATACCATTCGTGTCAACAACATTTCCACTTATACGCCACGCAAACGGGCACCATTTTGAATATTTGTGTAGTATGAACTTTCAACCCACACCTCAAGTACGAGTAACCTCAAATCTCAGCAAAGCAACGTAGACGTGAATGTATGTCACTATACGGTATATTGGTATCCGTACAATACACGAGACGCCGATCTCATAAAACATATCGAATTATATTTGTCTACTTCTGTCATCGAAGGGGCATGCTAAGTTCACGCCATGTTCTCTCCGTAGTGATTTAGGGCATGGAGCGCCATTCTTCGGGTCACACTCCAGGTCACACTATGAAACAATGATGTGTTCGATTAGTTAGTCCAAAGACCCTAGTGTCTTTAGTTAGTCGCGTGAATGTCGGAGCGTCGGGTACAGATGTTCCTGTTTAAATATCGAAATATTATTTGCTATAAATATATATGATTTTTTTTAAATACATGTATAAGTAATATATCAATCAATGACATTGGAATATTCAAAACTGACGGAATTTAGGAATGAAGCGCTGTACGAAAGAAGACATATTGTTACTTCCATTGTTTATCTCACTCCTTGAGTGAACAATACAGAACTATGACGCCATAAATACTTCCACCTATCAACTTTCTTTCAAATAGGAGTGTCCATATTTATTGTATTCTCACTAGAAATGTTAGGCCACCGTAAATGGAGACACAACTAGACATTCGTCGCACAACAGCTATAATTATACCGTTCTACATCGGAGAGGAAAGTCGTGATTTGTAAATATTACGAGTAATGCCGTTTCCAGGGTGCATTTGTCGCATTTACAATTATAAACTCGTTTTTTTGTATTTCTGCCATTATTTGGACTAAAAACAACTGTTTCGAATATATCTGACGAAAATGTAGATATCTTAAATTTGTACAGGAGCAGTCTTTATAATAAGAACGTGCATATTTCCATGACGCTTGTTTTAGGATAATTAGTTATCTGGATCAGGGAGCTACAACTTTGTGTGTCGCTCCCTGTCTGGATCAACTCTTTTTGTCTGAAATGTTGCCTTGTCTATCGCTACAAGACCCAATGGCTTTGTGTATCACGGGAATGGGACACGTCGCAATTATGTAATAACTATGAATGCTCGCAATTTTGACATTGGAACAGATGTATGTAGAATTTTGCATTACTTTCTTGTTGGAAAACAGAAGTGAAACAAATACGCGCGTTGGTTGATGCAATTGTCACCCTCGGGTCATTCCAGTGTTGTGATGGAACGCGGTGTAAAGCCATATATTGGTGTGTGGCGCGTCGAAATGTACTACTAATTAAAACACTTGTCAAAGAAACGAATATCGCATTTGATTGACCCGATCATAATATGTTGCAATTGCTTGGTATCGCTAAATTTAGTACCACATTATTTATGACAGGTTTGTTTTCGAGATTTGGCTGGATTTCTTTAAAACTCGCCAACAAACGGTACACCGACATCGAGCAGAAAGCTCAGCTTTTGTATTTCTTTAACTATTAGTCGGAATCAGAGTTTTTGTGCCTGTTTATGTTTGTAAGATATCTACCACAACACGCGTTTCGAAATAAACGTCAAGAAATCTACGTGACCGTCTAACACAAGACGAGGCCAGATGGAATTCAATATTTGGAATATTTCCACAAACGTCGTATCAATTGGCTCAAATTAAAAACAAACTATAGATGTCTTTGAGCCATAAGTTGAACATGGGACGACAGACTCCCAGACTGTGCCGATAGTTGTCATTTTTTTATCATAGTTCCCCTTATTTTGAAACAAAACCGGGTAACACGCCAGTAAATATATCTGCACCATACACTGGATTCGGGTGTGTCGTATTGCAATACATTGCATTGTATTATGCACGTGATTAGTAGACTCACAGACGTATAACATGCCCAAATGACCACCTGTGACATCGTCCAAGCAAAAAACATAGTCATAAGGGTAACACGACACAACAAAAGTGTCAATTGCTGTATTGTTACTGCATTCACGGGTCTTGGTCACACGTGCCACAAATTACTCGCAACACGACACTGTATATTGTTTAATGACTGTGTAATATTAAATTAGATATTGTTTTTTACTACGGATCATTTCAAGCAGGAGTTGGATTTCTCAAATACCGATATAATAGACTGTGATTTTTTTACATGAAGTGTTACCCTATACAATTACAAGGCAGTGGAAATAGACATGCAACAGATAAAAACTTCAAATGGAAATTCTGCTGACAGTATTTAATGTCATAGAGTTCCAGTTGTTATTTCTAAATAGAGTTGAATATGTACTGCCGTGTCGGTGTTAACTTGTCAAATTCACAGCGAAAGTCCGTCTGTTCCACATGACATAATGCTCGTGATTGGCCTAATTTTGACGACCTCTTAGTTTTAGCCAATCTGTGAGCCTGTTTTATGTTTGAAAGCTTGGAGTTGGAGTACACATTGACGATAGCGGTGTTTAAATTAGCGAGCAGCGATCGGCTAAATTCAAAATCCTATGAAAAAAATTATCTGCATGTTCTCATCGCTGAAAAATTAGTTTAAATCTTTGATATTTCAAATTTCGAGTAACTTGTTTATTTATTTTTGCCAACATTGGAAAATCATGTCACACGATTTTGTTTAAACAATTTGAAGAATGTCGATTCGCATTCAACTCCTTGATTTATCCAGGTCTCACCAAAACCAAAATAAAATAACATTAATTTTAAACTAAGAGTCCAACATGGTTCATTACTGTTTGCTCGGTGAAGTTGACATTTGTAGCACCCTAGATGCAGAGATCGTCACTCATTTTGAGAACACGTAACCAATATTTGTCAATTTTCTCAAGCCTACATGACTTTAAATTCGGTTGACCAAGCTCGCCCCTTGCAGCAAGATGTATAGCGTTATATGAAATTTTAAGAACATATTTACAAAACTGTTGTAATCATCCCCACATCCTTTGCTTCGTCAAATCCTAATACTTCGAATCCATACATTACAATTGGTATATTTTGCTTCAAAAATAGAAATAATAGTTTCAACTGATATCTCATTAAATTTACATAGTGAATATTTAGTAACCGACCGGGCACAGGTGCCATTTGCCAGTATTTGAAAATTGATAATTCAAGATAGTAAAATTAATTGTAGACACAGCCGGAAAACTTCCTCCTTTATAAAACCACTTTTCTGTTAACGTTTAATGACGGTTACTAAGTAACCGTGGTTTAATGAATGTTTTCAATATAAATAAGCTGTCAACAGTAGAATCGCCTTCACGAAAACCAGCCAACTCGCTAACAATTGGAGAATTCAATTCACTTACTATAATTGTCGGTTATATGTTCATTTCAGAAATATACATTAGTTAGGTACAAATGTTGTATTTTCGAGACACCTCACTCCCGACAGCACTCCCGGTCATCGATTTTAACTACTCGGGCATAATTATTGTTTTGTTTTGTTTTTTTACCTTACATTGTCTTTTCATCAACAAACTTTGATATTACCATACAGATGTATACTTCCGAATTCGCCCACTCATTTGAAAATAAAAATGGTGTATTTTGACCGATATTTGAGTCAATTCACGTTGACGACGCCCCTCATATCACTTTCGGCCAACTTCGCGCGATTAATCATGACTGACAAGGCAATCACGCGCTTAGACGCTCACTGATCAGTGCAATACTATTAGACGTGAATTCACTAGTGAGTCTAACTCATCAGTGAGCATTGTTTAAAAAAACAAGGTCGTGTGGCTGCCTGTAGCTATCAGTCACTATCAAAAATCAACAGAAAATCACCGTGAATGTCCGAGTTGTTCGCCATTCAGTGTTGATATTTAACCCAACATGCAGAGTCAAATGAACAGCATTTCGCATTGTATTATATACTGTTCAAGTTTCGTTTAACAGCCTTAAATATTACAAGTGTGGGACCTTTGTTTCGCTGATTACAGAATACCCAATATCTGTAATTAGCGAAACGAACCAGTGACTGATTAAAATCCCGTTATTTTCGGCGAATATTTCATGTCGTCATATAAAGTCGTAAATATTGGGCTCACTTACCCATTTTTCCTGATTAAAATTTAAAGTTCATTATGTGTAATTTCGTTTCATTTCCCGATTACAACAAGCCCTTCTTGGGCGACTCCGTGGCCACAGTCGGTGTCATAGTTTGCATAAACAAATGAAAGTATCTCTGTTCTCAGGTGTGTTTTTTATTTATACAGTCCATTAACGTCACTGTACATTTCTTTTTTTTCTTATTCTATGATGGCTAACACCCACATACTTTCCAGTGATGTTCGATTGCTCACTAGGTGCCGGGAAATAATACTACAAATAGAACAGTTGTCAATAACTTCTACCCTGATACTTTGAAAAACTCTCACGAAACACATCAGTGATTGGCCCGTCACCGAGAATGCGTCCCCATATGCCTTTCACTCGCCCCCAGGGGACACTAGGCCTGGATAGAGGGGTAACACCGAGTCTTCAAAAGTGCGAGCATTTTTATACCAATGTATTGAACAAATCCGTACACATCTTTATACCATATAAAGGCTTTGCACCAACTATTTTGCTGTGAATATCTGCCTGGCATCATGAAAAATGTGACTGGGGCGTGATTGAAACAATATTTATACATGTACACTTGATTTCGATTCCTGCATATACATCCATATTTATTCAAAACAGCTGCCTGAACAACTACAATCTGCCAGATATTCATACCCTGAATTTATACCTATTTGGACAGCAATTAAGACAATATATATGTACCTAAAATCTTGAACAAGATTGTCCGGTGATCTCAATTTCATTTTAATGACATAATTAAAAAAAAATATTTCTGATCAGCGGCGTGGACCGAAAAAAAGTACGGGCGCATATTTGTTTTCGTCCGTTGTCAATATACAGCGCCCTCTGTCGACAAATTGATGAAAGCTGCACATTAATTGAACATAAAGGAGTTGACATAGCATCTCTTTAAATAAGCTCGAAGCTCCTTAAAAATACGCTACAATAAATGGAAAAAACGCAGTATTTCCAGATCATTGGATATACCCCACTATTTCACTGCCACGCGGTATGTAATTTCACAATCAATAATGAAATCAAACGAGTATGATGTGCAACGATAAACATTTATTCGTTATTTCAACAATGAGTTCAACTATGTGTATATGACAACATAATCACAGAAAACCAACATTGACTATTAATAACTTGTTAGTGACCAGGGTACATATAACGATCATTGCCTTACACACTCAGGCTGGCCATTTGGGTGTAATACTAGTGTTGCAATGATATATCAGCAGTATGAATTAAGGGAAGTCTCCGGCACACGCAAATAGTAATAATTGCAGTCACGTATATAAAATAAAAAATATAGACCTCCTATATATTTGACACATGTCGCATTTAAGAGCGCAGCAGATAAAATCTATTGGCAAAAATGCGTGTAAATACTGTATACTATTACAGAAGACAAGCACGATATAACTTGAATTATATTTGTGTTTTCATATAGGATTGTAGACCAAATTAAAATATAATTAATTAAAATGGTCTTAGCACCACGTCCATTACTTCCTCAAATTCAGTTATCAATATCTCGGTATTACCTGCTGCAAATATATTACGTTTTACTCAATAACAAATCGCATCTAGGTGATGACCTTTCCTTTAACGACGTTTAAAGTCACACTTCTCCTTCCACAAATGGTCCATGCTGAGCCCCTTCTGCGATCTCCGTCGCACTTACTTCTGTTAAAGGCCGAAGCTCCTGTCCAGTTTCACTTCTCGATGCAGTATTACCTATTGATACAGTTCAACAAATTAATGAAATATGTTTATATGTAAACACACACTTCTATTTACAACACATACCAAACACATGGGCCAACTTATTGATTATACTAGTTCATTTTAATGAGCAGTGTACAAAGTCCAAATACCATCTACTTTATATTTGTGGTACAGCAATTTCTCAATATTATGGGTAGATATATGTATACTAGTATTGTAAACTCGTATCCATGTTTGTGACGCATAGTCAGCAGAGAATCATTAGATTCTTGTACATGCGTCACAACGCTAGGAGGTCTATTTAAATAACAAATCGTCATTGTTATGTTATTTGCATATACAAACACCTATTTGATATGTAGGTGATTGAAGGTTGACATATAAAATTGATTGATGGCCCAACAATTTGAGTATACCGTGGATAAATACACATAACGCCTCACGTAGTAACAAAATGATAATATTTATATAATTTTATTAACACATAACAAACCACAGAAGGGATGAAAAGGGTTAAAATTAAGAAGAATAAAAACTAATAAAACATGTGTACGCGTTGGGGTATTACATGTTGCAGTGACAATCCATGATATAATAAACATTAAACAAATAGTTACCAAAGTGGATGTCAGTATTCAGTTTTAATTACCCGGGGAGATGATTCCTTCTATGGGTTCTTAAAATATTGACCGACACTGAGATAACTGAGTCCGTATCAAGACGACGTTTTCTCCCGAGCGCAGGATATAATTTGCCCGACGTTATTTTATTACGTTCCTAACATGAATGTTAGACTTTGCGAACCCCGCCATTTTGAACAAGCGACGGCCAAATATACGCTACACCAGACCGCAAAATATCCCGGATGTTCAGTCTAAACCATATATCGAATTTTTGTGAAAACAAAGGCATGTAATAAAATAAAACACATACCTTGTCTCTGTATTCGTTTATATTTGATAACCTTCCTAGTAATCACCGCCACCACAGTTACAGTAATTACAACATATGTGAGACTTCCCACGAAGAAACCAACCCATGAATACTCCGTAATTATTATAATAGCTGTAAATAAAAAAAAAATAATATTTATTTGGCAATTCGCCTCACCTATGCAACCAATCACGACTTGCGCATGAAGAAGATATTTAAATGTTTTAAAAAATAAAGTATTAGTAAGATAACATACATTCATCACTCTCTCCTAGACTAATTAAATTAATAAGAATTTAAGGATTATTCTTGGGCTGAGAATTCGTTTGAACACGATGGAAAAGGCGTATATCACAGGGAGTATGATATTGCAAAAAAAAAAAAAACTTTTTTTATTTAGCCCTTTCTTCGGATCGTTCTCCTTGCCAATAACTCTCGCCGCATGTTTACAGAAGTACAATATACTATCAATCTGATTAAAATCTGATGTAGTGTACGGGCTTTAATTATTTTGGCTATAAACTTATTTTAATTTTATTTTTTATTACTTTTGTTATTGATGCCTTTTTATTTTATTATTATTTTACTTTGATTTTGATTTCGTGTTTTTTTTAATTCCG